AGGCTTCCCTAAATTTTGCTGTAGAATTTGAATCCCTGGTTGCACTTTTTAATATTGTGGCCATAGTTAACGACATTAGTGCGGTTAAACGGCCAATCTCAAAGCCAAAAAATATTGCCTAAGCCTCAAGATTTCGATAATATATGTCTAGACCTTTGTTCCTTCTATGAGCAAAATCTTCAGGAGTGGATGATATTTTTTTCTAGATGAAGTATTGAGTGAGCCATTTTTAAAAATCGGCTCAAAACGAGCCGTTTAACAACACTAAAACGGCATATAAGAATGCGCATTAAAAATTGATATTTTTTTTTTACCATTCCAAAAGTAATCAATAGTTATGATGTTGTTTTTTTAAAAAAATATTGTGTCTTAAGCGAATCACTTATTAAGAATACATTAAAAAAAATTAATATTTTATGGCTTTATTAACAAAGGTACCCATATTTTTCGTTAAGGCTCCACCAATGTCATTATAAATACCTTAAACTGATTGATGTAGGCTTGGAAACACGAGCATGAACAAGGACGCGGGTTCAATCCTGGTAAGAACCATAAAAACTTTCAAGTTTTTCTTCGATGACTGATGTGTAAAGACATATGGTATGATGAATTTCGGAGCTTAGAGATGACACCCCGGTCACCGACAGGCCTGGACAGCCGGGTGCTAAGGATACCTGTCCAATAAACAAAATGAAGGACACAAATGAAAATATGAATATGAAAGCTAGGGCGTTCCCTCCATGCGACGCGCAGGGTGTAGACCTCCATCCTGTGAAAAATAAAGTAAAGGTCAAAGCAAAGAAGACAAGACTGGCAAGTTTGAATATTGGGACGCTTAAAGGTAAGACGAGAGAATTGGCATCAATGTTGAACAGGAGAAAAGTTGATATAGCGTGCATACAAGAGACGAAATGGAAAGGACAGAAAACTTTGATGATTGGAGATGGGTATAAATTGTACTATAATGGACTTGTTAGCAATAGGAACGGTGTCGGCATCATCCTCAGCCAAGACCTAACCTCTTCAGTAGTAGAAGTCAACAGGATCTCTGATAGACTAATGAAGATAAAACTCTGCATTGGTCAATCAATAATACACATCCTATCAGTATATGCTCCTCAAACGGGTTGCAAGGAAGAAGAGAAAGATGACTTTAGAGCTATCCTTGATGAAGCTGTAATGGAAATTCCTAAGGATGACCTAGTCATAATTGGTGGTGACTTAAATGCGCATGTGGGGAAAGCAAGAGATAGCTACAAAAGGCATCATGGTGGTTTTGGATACGGAGAAAGAAATGATGAAGGAGAGCAACTGAAATTTGCGCAAGCCTTCGACCTTGCCTTAACCAACACCTACTATAGGAAAAAAGACAGTCATTTAATAACATATGAAAGTGGTACTTGGAAAACACAGATAGATTACATGCTAATCTCTCGCAGAAGATTAAAAGATGTAATAGACTGCAAAGTCATCCCAGGAGAAGATATCGCCGCGCAACACAAGCTACTAATCATGGATTTACAAATCTCAAATAAATCCACTCAAAATAAGATAAAACTGGAACCATGCATCAAATGGGGCAAATTAAAAACAATGACAGATGCCTTTGCAATCAATGCAAACATTGAAACAATAAATTGCTCACAAGTCAGTGAAAAATATGGACAGACCTTTCATCCAGATTAATAGACACTGCAAAATCGACGCTAGGCTTGACAAGAGGAGGCAACAAATCACACAAAGAACTATGGTGGTGGAATCAAGAGGTACAAACCACTATACAGGAGAAAAAAGCCCTTTATAAAATATGGTACAAATCCAAAAATGCAGATGACAAGTCAAGATACAAAAAATCCAAGAGATTAGCTACAAAGGCGGTGGCTAGGGCCAAATCTATGGCATACGATGACATGTACGAAGATCTACATACCAAAGAAGGGCAAGAAATAAAATATACAGATTAGCCAAACAGCGAGAAAAGAACTCTAGGGATATAAACGGAGCTCCGAAAGTAATCAAAAATAAAGATGGGAAATTGATAATAAAGGAAAAAGAAATAATGAATAGATGGAAAGAATATTTTCAGGAGCTTCTCAACTTTAATTCCCACATATTGCATCTCGACGAACACTCCCCTTGTCAAAACCTTGTACAACCTATAACAGAACAGAATAATCACATGCCTCAAGCATATGAAAAACAACAAAGCTAGGGGTCCAGACGATATTCCAATAGAAAGCCTTAAAGCACTAGGAGATGATGGAATACATCTCCTCACAAATCTGTACAATAAAATACTTGGAAATGAAGAGGTCCCCCAAAAATGGAGGCAGAGCTATCTAGTTCCTATCTTCAAAAATAAAGGGGATCCACACAATTGTCAAAATTACAGGGGCATTAAACTAATGTCACACTGTCTAAAACTATACGAAAAAATAATAGAAAAAAGATTAAGAGATATAATCGAAATAGGAGAGACACAGTTTGGCTTTATGCCTGGAAGATCAACAACCGATGCTATCCATGCAATTAGGCAAATGAGTGAAAAATACAGGTAAAAGAACAAAAAGCTACACATGGTCTTTCTCGATCTAGAAAAGGCCTTCGATAGAATCCCAAGAAAACTTATCTGGTGGACGTTACGCCACAAAAAAGTTCCCGAAAAATATATAAGAATAATAGAGGATATGTATATGGGACATACAACAATGGTCCGTAGCACAACAGGTACTTCAGCAGGCTTCACAATAGCCGAAGGAGTTCATCAAGGGTCGGCTCTCAGCCCACTTTTCTTCATTACAGTAATAGATGTATTAGCACAGTCTATACCTCAAACAGTCCCGTGGAATATGATATTTGCAGATGATATTGTGATACTTGCCGAATCCAAGGATGAAATGAAAGAAAGGTTAGTGAATTGGATAAATATCCTAGAAACGCACGGATTAAAAGTAAATAGAGAAAAGACGGAGTATATGGTGATAGGAGGAGATGAAACGGAGAGTATTGATATAAATGATTGGCAGATATCCGCAATTGAAAGCTGCAAATATTTGGGCTCCACTATACAAACAAACGGCACAATAGAAAAAGAGATAAAGAATAAGATTAATCAAGGGTGGTTAAAGTGGAGATCTTTATCTGGAGTGCTATTTGACAAAAGAATCCCACACAAATTAAAGGGAAAAATTTACAGTTCCATAGTACAACCAACTATTCTATATAGTTCGGAAACATGGCCAACCAAAGAATCAGACGAGAGAAGTCTACAAACTCTGGAGATGAGAATGCTGAGGATGATTGCTGGGGTAACAAGAAAGGATAAGGTGCGCAGTACAAGAATACTAAATAGTTTAAAGGTAGTGTCCATTAAGACTAAGTTAATGGTAAACAGACTTAGGTGGTATGGGCACACAATGAGAAGGCCTATGAACTACATAGGAAATAAAGTTGAAAGATTGGAAGTGATGGGCAAACGTAAAAGAGGAAGGCCAAAACTTCAATGGGGCCATAAAGTTAGAGCCAATATAAAGAAGTATAAAATAGATAAAAGAGATTGTACGAATAACATAAAGTGGAGAGAGATGTTGAAGGAGCTTACCACCAGAAAAGGTGAAAGCTAAAGAGAAAAAAAAAAAAAACTGATTCATTCATGTAGGTTCTTCGTAGTGAAGGTCAACGGTCCGGTCCTATCGGTCTTAGACCGGGATTGGACCGGACCGATTGTCGGACCGATCTTTTTCTTGAGGACCGTGGTCCGGACCGGTCTTTTATTATTGTTTAAGTTTGCTTTACTATACAATTAATATAATTTTTTTGTATATTTTATTTTATGATATTTTTCTAGAGGAGTCATTTTAGATTTTGTTAATTTTTATTTTACAATATAAAAACCATAAGTTTGTCCAAGAAACATTTTACTTATAGTCCCAATAAAAACATAGAGTGTGTGTTCACTGCAGTACCAAATTTAATGTATCGTCAGCACCTAGTAACAAAATAATTGTTTATAATTTTTTAAGCAATAAATTAATCAAAATAAGCAATAATATTATTAAAATATTTTAGTTATTATATAGTTCTATTTTTTTTTAAAGAAACTGTCTTTACTTAACCTTATTCTTAAGAAAATAATTAGGTACCTTAAGCAGACATCTGATAAAACATAAAATATATACTTCTAATGATGAAAATGGAAATATCTCAAAAAACACAATCTACTCTTAATTTTAATATGCCCTCTACAAGCACAAAATCATTTTTTTCAATACCATTGGATAAATTTTATTGTTTATATAATACTCTTATATTTAATAAAATGATAAAACAAATCAAATTAGGTTAAAAAAATATGTTTTTTAAACAAATAAAAGACCGGTCCAGGACCGGTCTTTTTATTTAGGACCACGGTCTGGACCGATCATTTTCTTAAGGACCGCGGTCCGGTCCGGTCCGAGGGTATCGGTCCAGTCCGGACCAAAGACCGGACCGTGACCTTCACTAGTTCTTCGTATCATTACAAAATTTCGGCTGGTTGGCACGCCATTTTTTTTGTTTCCCCTATAAATAATTTACGTTCGTAATTCCTTATATGTGAAATCAAAATGGCATTGTCACTAAACTGATTTGTATTCCGTGGCGTTTCAAAATGTAACATAATGAAATGGATCGTTGGTCTTGGCAAGTTATATTATTATGTCATTCTCATTGGTTGATACTTAATTTATCCAATTTTACCGCATCACTGCAAAGCCACGTATTTTTTTTTAGATTACGAAAATCTTTAACTCGATAAATCCCTTGTGACCAAAATAAAATTTTATATCCTTTTCATCTTCCCTTTCTTTTTCAAAATTTTCTTTGCGGCAGACACAAACGTGCGAATAAATATTTTGCTAGAAATTTACTTACCCCATTCTCAACCTTAACTAGTAAGATGGTAAATCAGCTGATTATATTTTTTTTAAAAAATTTTTGCCTACATATTTGTATTATCTCAGATTCCGGATTACCGTAACGCCGTCATAGTGGCTAAAAACCCGGCCGGGGCAAAACGAGCCCAAAGTTACGCCGAACGTGTCCGCCTCTCTCTTGCGGTGATTCATGGTGAGCAACGGGATCCGGAGGAGGACGAGATGGACGGAAGACAGTCCCCGCCCCCACCATTTTCTGGCCTCATTCCCGGAAATTTTGCGGCTAACGTTGGCGGAAATGGTTCGAAGAAGTCATCGATTGAAAAGGAGGACTCGAAAGATGCCAAGAACAAGCAGAAGAAGGAAAAGGAGAACGGAAATGGTCTCGTTAAAAGTGATCTAAAAGATCCCAAGAATAAATTGGAAAGGGAAGAGGTTTCTATTTCGAAAGCTAAAAATTTGTCGCTCAACGCAGTCCACGATAGGCCTCCCTCGAAGGACGCCGTCGAGACGAACGGTAAAGGCTCGGGGGAAGCCGCGAAAAGCATGGGGAGCATTCCCTACAGGTTCCGGGAAGATATCGAGGAAGCGGCGGAAAAGGAAAAGAGCTTCGAAACCAATTACGACATTTACGATGACCGGCACTCCCAGGGGAACATATTTGAAAGTAATTGTTTATTACTTTATTCATATTTTATTTTTTGCTATTTGAAATTGGTAAAAAAAAATGATTGCCTTCATCTTAAATCGAAAAATTGTGTTTTTCCACCAGCGATTCAAGGGTTGAGAAATGAGGATTGCTTAACACATCGAATACTTGAATTAATAAGAATTAAGAAACAGTACAGTTTAAGAAAATCGATAAAAAGCTATACTCCAAATCAGTGTTGTTAAACAACGACTATATTGAAAGTAGCGCGCTATTAGCTACTTTTAAAAAGAGGTAACCTAAAGCTACTTTTACGCTACTATCGGTATAAAAAAATATGACTTAAAATTCCAAATATCTATAATTTATAGGGATGTTCCAATATCCGATATTACGGATATTAAATTGATATCGGCCGGTTACCGATCCGATATCATATCCGATTTTGTATTCTGTAAACATACTCATCGTTTTAATTTTTAAAGCACAACAGCTCTAGTATTCGCAAAATCGCTTCATTCGAGCCGATTTAAAACGGCTAATTCAGTCTTTTATCCAGAAAAATATTACGTGTGCCTGAAGATTCTGCTCGTAGATCAGAGAAGGGTTTTTTGGCACTATTATCGAAATCTTGGTTTATAAAATTGACTCAGAGCTATCGGTAACAACTACATGTACATCTCACTCATCTAATATACTTTTGACAAGTGTACATCAATGCATCAAAAAACAGCTGGGAACGCCATTTTGATCACCCATAATCATTATCAAAAATTTTAAACGAGAGGCCAATTTATTCTTATATCCGACGCAAATTCTATTAAAGAATTGCCTGATCATCGAGATAATAAGGAAGCCAAGTTATCAACTTAATAGTAGTGTTTTTTTTAACATGAAAATAATTACTATACGGGTTTACCAAAATGGCGGGTCCAGCTGATTTGCATTCAGCGACGCTTTCAAATGCATTATTATGAACGAAACGTCAGTCTAGGTATTATATGTCATTAACCCAACCCATAACATGAGTCATTTAAATATGTTATAATGAATCAAGTTAAAGTTTATATTCATGAATCAGAAAATTGTATATAATATTTTTTTATTGATAAATCACTCATACCATTTAACATAATATAATAAGTAATAAATAAATAAATAAAGACGCCATTTAATCGGATCGGATAGGAAAATTTTTTCAATATCCGCCAATAGCCGATATTTTAAAAAGGGTGAAATATCCCCGACCCGATAGAAAAATAATAATATCTCCATAATGTCATCCCCAAGTTCTTAGAGCGACGATCTGAAAGTAGCTTTGACTAAATAATCCTAAACTACCACTTTAGGGCAAATGCGGTATTAAATTTAATCATATTTTTTACTTGGAGTATTTTTTAGATTTCAAAAAAAAAAATCATCTATAGATAATTAGCTAATCTGCGTTAGGGTCAGTCAAAAATTATAACAGTATAATAGGTAGAATAAAAATTGTATAGGGGGGATAAGTGGCATTGGTGCTGACTGGCCAGGCTGCCAACCTTCAATTTCTCTCAAAATTGGTTAAAATATGAAAGGATTGAAATAAGAAATATTTTTTAAAGCATGTTTTGATAAAATTTATAAACATATTATCGGTGATTTTTAAGCATATTTTATAACATCGGGATAATAATGATAATAATCTATAAAACATTATCATTAAATTGATGGGTCTGGTGATAAAATGAAGATATTAATATTAATGATGTTTTTAATTCTTGAATAATATCTTGTGGCCAGTTGAAACTTACCATGTTTGTGTTATGTAATCTTAATATCTTATATATTTATTAAGATTATATTCAACGTTATTTGAATATTATTATATTTTGTCATACAATATTATAACTTTTCTTATATTTAATATTGTATTATTAAAAGTCAATCGAATTGCATAATATTAGAAGTTAAATTACATAATTATTAAAATACTACATAAAATAGATAAGAATTTAATATAAAAGATACCAATTATTTTGACTATAAGAGGTTTGGGACTGGGTTAGAAAATCGACTTTCACATAAAGCTCTTCTAGCTCAAGTACTGTTAGAAGATACAGCTTCGATTCTAATATTATTTTAGAGATTAAGGATTGTGCTACACATTGATATTAAATTTATGTTCCCTTAAGTTGAGGCTACTAGTTCTTTCTGGAACATCCTGCAACCAAATTTATACCCTGTGTTAATTTTTTTTTTTATTATCGAGATTTAAAATATTTTACTAATTTAGGAAAAGGAAATTCCACATTAATTTTATCATTTTTCATGGAAATTCCTTGGTCTATATTATCCGTTTTTCTAAAATTATCTTCAATATTTAATCTCTAACGCCGACATTTTTAAATTATTTTTGAAAAACTAGATTTGTAAATGTAAGATTTTTTTTTAAAATATAAATTTAAATTTTCGAAATTGTGATAAATAAATTTAATAAAAAAGATTATGATTTTTAGAAATTAATTCTTATTAATGGTATACATTTATTATCTAATTTGTTCTAATAAATTTAATATATTTAAAAATGTTTGAAACATATATAATAATACTATTAAATAAAAGAACGGAGATGGTGTGACGCAGGGAAACAAAAATGAAAAAGGGAAGTAAGCGTTGTCTATGATAGCTCTTTAGCTAGAAGGCTACCATAGAAACTGATATAATTAGCTTTGTGAATCGCTATGGATAATCATGCGCATTTTTTTATATATAAAATTGAGAGTAACGCACTAAAAGCTACCGTTACTTTTAAAAAAGTAGCGCGATACTTTCAATTAAGTTTATTTTGATAACCTGAAACCGAATTTTTTATTTCGACACGATCCAGATTTTATAAAATTTATTGTACGGCATAATGTACCCGAATATTAATTAGGTCGGGTTTTTCAGGTCTTTAATCCTAATATGGAGACCTGCAGGGCCGGTTATACCGGAAAGGTGGTCAATTTGGGGAAAAAATCTTGGGCGGACCTAAAATTTTCATTTTCTCCGCTATAACTACAAATGTTTCAAAAATATTTGAAAAGACCTTACACCGCTTTCTAACCATGTCGACCCCGAGGAATTATCCAACAAACTGTTCAGGCGCATAAACGATGACGATTTATCGGGGGAAGATGAATTTCCCGGTTTCGATGCCAACGAGACGGTGGGGGGATACCCTCTAAAGCGTACCGCATCTTCCGCGGCGTATTCCGATACCTCGCTATTGGCCAGGATGGAAGGCTCGAAATCCGACTTTTTTGGCGGGTATTACATGCCCAGTGAGTTTTAATATGTATATACTCAGCGTTTTGATCTAATTTTGAGTGCAAAAATATTCAGCTATCGAGGCCCCCTAGTCCCAAGACAATTTTATCGGAATCTGATTATCTGGTGCAGATAAAAATTTTAAAATTAAAACCAGCCTGATAATGTCTGTCTGACTGACTTACCCCCTAGGGTTAGTCAGACAGGGTAGTTTGATTCAGGACCCTACCTTATTTAGCCTCATAATTTATCGATGTTATAGAATAATATGAAAAAAACTGTTTTTTCGGAATTTCTGTTTTTTTTTGTTACTAATAGAAATCATACAATTTATTATGTTAAATTGAGTTTGTTTTATAAGCGTGACACTTTTGTTCTGTTTTTTTAAATTCGAAAATTTTGTTTTTATATGTAATAATTTTTTCGTTGTTTTTACTTCCTTCCATTTATGGATCGAATTAGGGACTAGCTAAAACTGATTTTTACCCGAACTTCGGTCTGAACCAGTCATAACCTACAAATTATTCGGACCAAGTAGGAACTTTATTTAAATTGTATTATTTATTTTTTAACTTAATTTACTCCTTTTTATTTACCTAGTGGTTGTATTAAAAAAAAATACTATCCACATCTATTTATTACTTTAATTTTTTTTTAAACATATATGATGTAATAGCGCATGCTCAAAATTAAAAAAAAACTCACGATATAAGGAAGAAAAAAATTATTAATTTTTGGAAAGTAAGATAAAAAAATTTTTTTGTTTTTATGGTTATCGACAAAATTGGCACAGCTTTTAATTCGATTCATCCTTCGGACAACCTAGACCGAAACGAATCAGCTGGAGTCACGTGCTGATTTAAAAAAAATTTTGGCTTGATAATCCATTCAAACTTAAAACCTAGGCTAGAATCCTCCTATGAGTCGGGGAGTCAAAACAGCTGAAACGGTTCACCGAAAAGCCCTCATCAGCAGTCTTAATTTATTATGATATATATTTATTTTTTTCTATCAAAGTAATGACACAAAAAGAAAAGCCACCCCTCACCGTCGTGGGCGATGTTAACGGCAGGATCGCCATTTTAGTGGTTAGTATTTTTTTTAATTATATCTAACGCCTTCCTTTATAGTAAACGTGATTGGTTCAAGCGGTGCGGTATTTAACGCAGGCGAAATCATAGCCGATTCTTCGTAGCGTTAATAATTTACGAAATATACCCCGCGGTACATATGTTTTTCATCGTTTCGCATACGCTTGCACAAATCGCGTTTACTATAAAGGAGGCCTAAATGGTGGGGCGAACACAGTGGCGTATCCAGGATTTTCCTATGGGGGGGGGGAATTTTTTTGGTCGCCCCTAAACCCTCTTAGCTGGCCTTCGGCCAGCTTTAGCCCGGTCTTTGGCCGGGTCTTATGTTTTACTATTCTATTAAATTTTTCATATAATTATATATCTTTTTTTAACTTTTATTTACTAATTTGTGCCTAATGATATTATAAGCCTATTTTTTATTATTTTAAGTTAGGTATGTTATATTTAATAAAGTTTTTTTAAATGTAAAGTTGAAATAAAATGTCATTTAAAATTTGTTTTAAAAACTAGCCTCTGCTTAAATTCTCATACAATATAAGTAGAATAAATTTTTTTTTATTGAAAAAACCACAGTAAAACATTGACTAAAAAATAATTTAAAAAAACAAGTTTTTTTTTAACTTCTTATCAAATACAATATTATACAGAATATTTTATTAAATACTATAATTATAATGTGATTTTTAATTTTCGTGGGAATGTTGCCAATGTATCAAGAATTTCGTTTGTCGTGGGAACCAAATCTCTGTGGATATTTAACAGAGCTAACCCATTTAGCCGAGATTCGGAAGTATTACTTCGTAAATATGTTTTCAACCTTCTCAAGCTTGAAAATGTCCTTTCATTCGTGCATGTTGTAATAGGCAAACATGCAAGAATATAAAATAACTTCAAAATATTGGGAAATTGAGCCAAGATATCTTTACAACGATTTAGCGCATCAATGGCATGCTCAGGTAAAATAGGTAAACGTAATAAATATCTATACCATAATTCAAATTCGCTGATTAAATTTATCTCCGAATCAATATCGTACGAATAAAATTTGGCTAAATATTTTATTTTATCAATCGTGCCATGAGAAAATGAGGAGGGATCTTTGGGCAATAAAACTTGAAGATTTGCAAAGACTTCTTTTTTATCTAAAAATCGTACTTTTATTTGTGATAAAAAAGTGTCCAAGAATGGGATAAAAATAGATATTTTATAATAATCTTCAGTTGATCCAATATTTACATTGCATCTCATTAATTGCCTTGGTGCTAGACGAGGTTTAATTATTGATATATCATAAATTTGAGCCTTCGATTCAATATCTACATAAATATTATGAAAATATTCATCGACATTCGTTCTTATTTCATCCACCTGTTCATATATATTTTCTGCCAAATCAATTACCTGAACCAAATCTAAATTTGGTTTTTGTAGATTTCTACAAAGTATTGAACTATAAGAAAATAATTTATTGATGCAACTAGCTGATAAACTCTGATTGATCAATTGAATTCAATAATGGTATCGCTTCTGACGACACATTACTATCTTGCCATTTGGTAATTTCATGTAAAGATATTCTTATCATCTCTTCGAGTTCTATAAATGCCGAAACTGAATCATGACGTAAAACCCATCGTGTAGGGCACATTTTTTTTAATTTTTGATGATGTGTTTCTGGTGCATTCTTTGATATAGTTCGATTCAAAACATCTGACCGTTTGGGATATTTAAAAAAATCATAAATTTTGGATATAATGGCTAAAAATATATTTTATTTATTTTATTTATAAGTTAAAATACCCATGGAATTGCGTATAGAAGGTAGAGCACATGAATCGGATATTGCCAAATTCAACGAATGAGATGCACAATAAACATATATAGCGGAGGGATATTTTTTTAAAATATGTGCTTTGACACCATTTAAATGGCCACTCATAGCCGGAGCACCATCATAACCTTGTACTCGCATCAAATTTAAATTTAACTTATATTTCTCTAAATTTAACAAAATAGTTTTGGCGAGGGCCTCCCCTCTCATATCCACAACTGGTATAAATTGTAAAAATTCTTCTAATATTTGTATATCACCTATGATGTATAATTTTTTTTATTATTAATAAAATTATAAGCTTACCATCCAGGCTTATATAGCGCACACATAAAGACATTTGTTCTACTCCAGAGACATCTGTTGTCTCATCAGCCAAGACCGAAAAGTAGGGTGATTTGTTGATATTTGTAATAACTTTCTTCAATATTAATTCATTGCAGGCATCGATGATTTCATTCTGAATTATTGGGCTCAAGTAGGTCGCATTTTTAGAACAATTTAACAAATTGTCTCTAAGTATGGGATCTCCAAGAGATCTATTTCGAAGAATAGCTCTTAGGTTACCATCATTATTGTTATTATCATTATCAAATATCGCACCGCTATCTCTATGACCTCTAAGAGCGATACCTTGGATGCCACATACCAGGATAGCGTCAATTATTGGCGTTAGTCTTGATCTATTTTGCAAAGCTAGTTCTTGCTTTCCAGTATCTATTATTCTAATTATATCCATAGATTCTCCATTTTTGATAGATCGCAAGGAATATATTGTTTGTTCTGCATTAATATGATACTTATTATTTTGATGGTTGTTAAAAGTTTCAGTAGCATCTTTCCATTTAGTAAATGGTGTTAATACTAATCTCTGTAATTTTTGCTGAGCCCTTCCAGCAAATTTAGGACCAAATAAAACACAATTCTTGCAAAATGCACCATTAATGGTAGGTGAAAATGCAAGCCATGTCCACCTTGATAACCAAACATATTGGAACTTTAATTTTTTTGTTGTCGTGTCCCTAATAAATGGGAAAGTTATATCTGGTTGATATATATTTTCCAAAATCTCCAGTTTTTTTGAGGAGTTAAATCATTCTTTAGGAAATTATATATATCCCACGGTTGCCCTAAAAGACATTATTATTACCAACATTCATTAATGTACATATAAAAGCATTTAATAATAGACAGGCATTATCTGGCCAAAATTAACATTATAAAAATTATTATAATTATCAAATCTATCATTAAAATTAAAATGCTTATTCTTACTGAAATGAAAATGAACATATTATTTAATAAGCAATTGTTATGATCAAATAAAAATTCCACACTATTAATATCTATCAAATCTATCATTAAAATTAAAATGCTTATTCTTACTGAAATGAACATATTATTTAATAAGCAATTGTTATGATCAAATAAAAATTCCACACTATTAATATCTATCAAATCTATCATTAAAATTAAAATGCTTCTTCTTACTGAAATGAACATATTATTTAATAAGCAATTGTTATGATCAAATAAAAATTCCACACTATTAATATCTATCAAATTTAATATTCTTATAATATTCACCAACTGCCTAACTTAATTTTTATAAAATATATGCTAGTGCTTGCTACCTACCTTTATCATTATTTCCTTCAATTTCTATTTGTACATTTTTTTCATGCTCAAACCTATTTAAATTTTGTATATCTTCTGTTCTAAAGAAAAATGAAAAATATAAAATTAGATATATTAATTAAATTATATACCGTTTGTTTTCAATATCTTTGTCTTTGACTAAAAATTTCTCCATTTTTTATATTTTTTTTTGAATAATGTTAATGTACTCACAAGGAAAGGAAATTTTAAAAAAATTTATTTATTAAAAAATAAGTTTTATGTTGGAAAATTGATATTCAAATATTTGTAAAATTTTGATTTATGGGGGGGGGGGGGGGGGGGGTAAAATTTTTATTAGCTTAAAATGATATTTATGAAAACAGTCAAATTTACAATGGGGGGGGGGAATTTCCCCCTTTCCCCCCCATTGGGCGCCTGGGCGAACATAACGAATATCATTTTTTTTAAAAAAAACACGACCTATTTATCCCTATTATTTATATAATAATTTTTAAAAAAAATTAAATTTTTAAAAATATATTTTTACATTAATTAATATAATTATATTAATTGTATTTAATTAAGATTTTAATATATTATATGTCATATGGGGATTCGGAATCTCTTGATTTTAAATTCTCTACCGAGACAATTTAAAAAAATTTAAAATCCCATTTATCCGGAAATGGATTCTAGCATGTGTAGAGTATTTTTACCCTATAAATTTCAGCCAATTATGCAATGAACTTTAGAACACCTCCTAATTTATATTAAAATGGCTGAAATATATGGGGTGAATACTCTACACATGCTAGAATCCATTTCCAGTTAAATCGGATTTTAAAATTTTTTAAAATCGCCATCGGGTAAAGGATTTAAAATCAAAAGATTCCGACCATACGACATCTATATATTTTTTTTGAGAGATTAATAATTTACTTTTTTTGAATTTTAAAATTAGTTAGAAACTAAATAAAGAAGCAAAGAGTAGTCACATATCAATGAATAGATTTGAATATTTAAATAAAAAAGATTTTAGTCAACTGGGGTTATATTTATACTTTCTTCCTCTTATTAAGCTTAATAAGTAAGTGGAAGTCCTTATTTTTCTATATAGGCATTTTACACGAAAAAACAAGCAATAGGGTATTTTCTATTTATAAAATATAACTTTTACCATCCCCTATAATATGTATTCGGTTGAGTATTATAGTGTTCCATATTTTCTGAGCTTAAAAAATGTTATACTTGTAAACCTTTTTAAAGGTTTTTGTTTTACCCTAATATTTTTGTGGGATAATCCAAGTTTTATAATTAAATAATTAATTCGTTAAAATTATTATAAAACGAGTTCTATCGGCATTGCCAGGACTATTCCACTAGATTCATTCTTTATACAGAAGATTTAAATAATTCTTCCAAAATAAATATAATATCAATTTATACCTTTTGTGAGACAAAACTACCTCCTAGTTCATATATGCCTTTATAAGAGAAAATTAAAAAAAAAAACAATTTATTTTTTCTGTAAAATGGTTTTCTATTCATATTTAAAGGTAATAATTGAATTTTTTGATTTTTTTTGAAAGAATATACATAATCTTGGACCTAGTTTAGTGGGCTAGACAATGCTAATAGAACTATTTTAAACAATTAATTTTTTTATGTAAACTTAAGATTATCCATTAAATATTATGGAGAGTATGTTAGCCATTTTACATGAAAAACACGGAATGCGTATTTTTCTGTCTATAAAATATAAGGCTTCCATCATCCCTATATGTCTTCGGTTGAGTATTATTATATCCACTTTTTTTTGCTATAAAATCTTCTTTTTTGAACTATATTCTTATAATATATATCCACGATAAAAATAATATAAGAAACCCTTTTTTTAAAAAAAAAATGATCACCTGAACGATTGATCCAATTCAAGGAAATTATTTTTAATCACATGACCTGTCAGATTTGTCAAGTTAATTGAATAAAAAATTACCTTACCCTAAACTCTTTTAATTTTCACCCTAATCCATATCTTTCTAACCTTTAAACCTATGGAAGTATATTCCAGCATGTTTAGAATACCTATCTTCCTGAATTGTGAGCAATTTTGCCGCTAACCTTTGATCAGGAGATCATTTTTAATCAAATGACCTGTCAGATTTGTCAAGTTAATTAATAAAAATGATTAAATTTAATCTTTACTTACCCTAAACTCTTTTAATTTAACCCTAATCCATATCTTTCTAACCTTTAATCCTATGGAAGAATATTCCAGCATGTTTAGAATACCTATCTTCATGAATTGTTAGATATTACCTTACCCTAAACTCTTTTAATTTAACCCTAATCCATATCTTTCTAACCTTTAATCCTATGGAAGTATATTCCAGCATGTTTAGAATACCTTAAGCAATTTTGCCGCTAACCTTTGAGTCATTTATAATTTTAAAAAAATCTATAGAAAAACGAAATTAAATTTGAATTGTCTTGAAATTCTTTGGAATACACTTCCGGTTAAAATCAAATTTTTAATTTTTTTTTTAAAAAACGCGCTCAAAAAATGTTTGGAAGATATAAAAAAAAATAACACATTTGCCGCTATAACATACGTATTTCATCCAATTAAAAAATTTCATTGAGTAACAAATTTAGTTTTTAAAAAATGGATATAGAACATTATAATACTCAGCCGACGATATGCTAATAAGGGGGATGCAGTCGGGGGTTAAATTAAACCTATAATGTGAGGTCTGCAACGGTCAGGTCTAAAATCGGCCGGGCGGTTTAAAATTACTTTTTAAAAAAATGGAATCGATCAAATCATTTTAAAACACCGGGCAGGCGGGTCTCCCGTGCTTTCTTCATTATCGAACTAGAAAAATTGCAGTGCACGCCGATTCGATAATCGGATCGATCCCATTTATCGGATCAATTTAAAGCTAATATCTAATTGGTTAGAAACGGCGCAGGCGCAGTCCTAAAAACAATCATCGAAGTGTTCTATTTTAGTTTGTTTTTTTTTAAACATTATTTCTAAAAATGTAGGACGACATTATAGACGAACCAGATAGCTTTATCCACGCCGCCGAAATTTTGAAGGAAAGGGGTGCTTGCAAAGTTTATCTCATGGCCACCCATGGCCTATTTTCTGGCAACGCTCCTAAGCTGCTTCAGGAATCTCCTATCGATCAAGTATTTAGATAGGCATTTTATAATTTAAATAAAAGATGGAATGAAAAAATATAATACATATGTAAAATAAGAAAATAATAAAGAATGAATGAGAAGGGAGGAAAAGGAAAATGGATGAGAAATTGTAAAAAAAAATTTGAATTAAAGTCTTACAAATAGTGTTTGCAACGGTTCCGTCTTTTTTTCCTAAAATGGGACTGGACCATTAGGTCTAGGTCGGCGGTGCCGACCTATATATAGAAAGTATTTTTATTATGACAATTTGCTCAAATCTAGTCCAGAAATTTCAAGCTATTTAGCAATCCCTATCCGAAACCGATATTTTCTGAAGGGATTTGAACCCGCCTAAATCCGAAAATACCCCGGGTTTCAATAAATCGGTCCCATGGTTGATCCGCGATCTCGAAATGTTCTAACCAAAAAACAATTTTTAAAATTTCCGGATCAATATTCGGAGTTCGAAGCCGTAGTTCCGAAAAGAGGGGTTCGGTTATCTACAACCCGGTATTGTCCTATCAAATTTTACTTAAAAATTTTTTTTTTTTTAGATAATCGTTACGAATACTATACCCCACGAAAATCAAAAAATGCAATGTTCAAAGATAGAAACGATCGATATCAGCGTTCTCATATCCGAGGCCATCAGAAGAATCCACTACCAAGAATCGATGTCCCACCTCTTCAGAAATATATCAACAGCTGATTAATTTATTTCCCGACCTCCCGACCCGACCCCTCAAAACTTTACCCGACACACAAAAAAAAATACCTTTCTTCATTATTTTGAAGATTATTTTATTACGGATTTTACGTTCTACATCTAAAAAACTAATTTATTTATTCATTTTTTTTCAAGTCCTTAATTATGAACGCGCGTCAGTTTTAATGCGCACGCGCAGTTTAAAAAAAATAATAATAATTTCAAAATATATACAAATCCTTTTAAATGCAAGCAATTTAAATTTAAAATAACATGAAATAGACTTAATTCAAGATCATATACCCGTTTATATTAAATAAATTATATTAATATTACGATATCAACTGACTCTATTTTTTATGTGATATGAATTACTAAAATTTTTATATATATATTTAAAAAACAAATTAGCGACGAAGTTTTTATATTTGTATTTTTATGTGATATGTGAAGAGAAAAAAAACACTCGTCATTTTAATAAACAGAAAAGCATTATTTTCAAATTGTGAAATGAAAATTTCAGTTTTATGATAACCTTTTTTTTGTACAAATTTGCCGTCATGAATTATTGATCGCGTTTGTTTTTTTTTGAGGTGTAACATGGTTTTTGAAAGATTAAAATAATGATTCATTTTTATTATAAAAGTCCAAGTATTATTATTATGGTATAATGTCAAAATCGAAACTGGGGTTTTGACTGTTATTGAAAACGACTGTATACAAAAAAAATAGCGGGTTTCTACCATGGCGAGTGTGTGACAGGATCGAGAGTATAATCTCGAAGAATTAGAGGGATAAGACGCAGTACCAAGTCAGTTAAATTCTTGGTATCTAGCACTCCTGTAAAACCATTTGTTTAAGTCTAGGGAAACCTATTTTGGTTAGACAACAATTTTTATAATAGTTTATTGATCATATGATTGTGATAATGACAAATTTGCAATAAAATGGAAGATTATATTTTCGATAAGAATTGTAGTATAAAAAACTTGTTTTTTTTTATCTAGTTGTTGGCTAATTAATTTTCTTCCAAATGATGCCTGTCGTTCCCTCGATCTCAACTGGTGTGCAGGTTTTCAATAAACCTTATATACATTTTCTTTATTGTTATCCTATTGTTTAACAACTGCTCCTTTCTGCCATGTATTTGATGACGTCGTTCGGTTTTTATAACTGATGTTTCCAGTCATGGAAGCGGTTTTCCAATTTATTACTATTATTTTTTAAGTGGTCGTGTACAATATCATATTGACCATATTAAATCCATTGAGGAATGCCAAAAAATATTCTCCATGTAAATTGATGATTCGTTTTAATCTTTTTCGCCACTTTTCTTCTTTTTTCTGCATCCTTTTTACAGGACGAGTGCTCAAATTTCGCAGAAACGTGATCTAGGGATTCCATATGATGTAAAGGTTAGTGCCCAAGTGAGAAGAGTGATTGGGTGGACTTGAAAAATTAAACATTTAAAGGGTGCACTTAATCTAAAATTGCGCTTTCTCGCGGCCAAGTCGACACCGGTTCTATAACGATACCTCGCTATTTGGTGACGTGGACAGTAACACGGGTGAGGGGAGCTACGATGAAAGCGTCGTTATCAGGTGGGCAACTCAATGGTGGTTTGCCTTCTTGGTAAATATCCTAATTTTATAATCGAATCATATATTTTGGTTATCTGGAGGTGTTGACGAAGATGAACGAAAACGCCATAAGCAACGCAGCCCGTAGCTTTTTGTAAGCGCAATTAATTTGCAGTAAAAAAAAAATCCTAATGAGAGGGGAAAAAAATTTTGTTTAATCAATAATTGAGGAACCACAAATCCCAATTTGGCGAGAGATGATAATAGTTTGTGCTGTATGCGCCTATTAGATCCTTATAGGAAATAGGCTAAAGATATAGGATTTTCTGATTTGCCAATTTTCCCGATTTTATTGCCTCACAAAAAAATCAATACAAAGCTTTAACGACGATGTTTTCTAAAAAAAATAATATTCAGGTTAGATTGTTAGAAATCAAATAATGTTGGGACATGACATAAACAAACATGGACATATTTTAAATATTTTTTATAAGCGAAACTCTTTATTAGTTGGGCGGAAGTGGTACACAATTTTAAAGAAAAATGAAATAATGGGCGTTCGAATCAGGTTTTTCACAAAAATTTTTTGTTAATACTTTAGGAGCGTAACTCCCTGAAGGATATATAGGGAAGCAAATGGCTACCATCCGTGGTTCATATACTAAATACCAAAGGCGCGCCATTTAAATCTTCTAACTTCCCTTTTACGGGCTAAATTTCAACCACTTTCGCCATTTTTTTTTACAATACATTGTAGCCAGGTTTGCTAAAGGGTGAGAGCGTTTCCTTCCATATAAATATTTTGAGAAGATAATTATTTTTTTTTAAATATATATTATAAATTAAGCCTTATTTATTTATTTTTTTTTACATTTGTAAACAAAACAAAAATGTCAACATAATATACAAAAACAAACAGGAAGGAAGTTTTAAAAAAAAAACATTATTTTTATTTTTGGTCCAAAAAAATAAAGGATAGATTCCGATTAAATTAAGTTCACTTAGACATGCGCAAGGTAATTTTCGTGCAAAATGGTGGTTAGCGCATAAAATAAAAATTAATTTTTATTCGTAAAAATTAGCCAATTACGGGCAATTATAAAATACGATTTTTTTATAAAAATTTTAACCAATCATAATTAAAAATTGTAAATTACTATGTTAAATAGAGATAAAAATTTGAAAGGGTTTCCAACAAGAAATAACCAATCAGAAACCATTATCTGGTAATAAAATTGTGAGTCATAGTTACGTTTACAATAATTTTACAAAAAATAAATGTTTGATTATATACATATAAAACTTACATATCTCCAGAATCCTGTTTCCGAGTTTAGATGGACCCTAATATTCTGCCCATGTGTTTGTGTAGGAAATGTTAATCGCTTCTATAAATGGAGTAATAGCCGTATCGTAACGTGGCAGTATTAGAAAATAATTTCAACATCTATATACAACCCGTTGCGACAAAGCTACCAACTCTAATAAATAAATCGGACATCTTGTTTGTCTCTCCTTTCTTCTTGGCATCAAAATCAATATATCGTTTGGGTGAATTAAAATTAATATATATTAAATCGTAATTATTTATTTATTTTTTTACCTTAAAAGTATCCAAAACGTCATAAAGGCATTTCTCTGCAGCATTATATTTCCATTAAAGCAAATTATCATAATTGTTTTTTTACCTTGAACTTGAACCTAAAGAATATTAAAACTTTAAAGTTGATTATCAAAATAAGTTTTTTTTGACACAAATTACTTTTTTTTATTTAAATATATAATTAATATAATTATTAATAAAAATTATTTTTAAATTTACTTAAATTTATTGATTTTATCTATTGCCAATCAATTAAGTTTTTGGAAATCATTAAAAAAAAAAATATTTAAGCTTTTGATTCCAAATTCCAAGAAATTTATTTAAGGATTGGATAATAAACGTGTAATAAAATTTTTAAAAAAATATAAAAATAAATAAAAAAAAAAATTATTTCTTTATAGGGCTGGGCTATATAATGACGGAAGCAATTTGAAATGAATCCAAAAAAAATAAAAATATAAATAAATACACAAAAAAAAATAAAAATAAATAAAATAAAAATTATCAGGGGGGAGTAAAGGGATGAAGTAAATAAAAAAAATATATTTAAATATTAAATAATGATGACTTTACAAAATTTTAGACGTAAAAAAAAAATAATTTCCCCTTTTATTTTCATGCCCTAAAAATATAAATAATTATAATGATGATAAATATAAAATATTTTAAAAATGTAAGTAAAAATACTTTCTTTGTATGAAATAATAATAAATATTAAAAAAAATCTACATGTGAGGTGTATAACTAGCTAAATAACAAATTATGTAATTTCCTGTAAATATTTCGCTAACGCTATAATAATGCATCATCTAAAGATGTTCATAGCGAGCGGCGTTCCTGTAACTTCTAGTAGGAACGACGCGACCTCCCCGTATATTCCCCCATAAGGCGCATGCGCCTTAGTAAGTTAGGGGGGGGGGGGTGGATGTTATTTGTAAATATAATTTTTTTATATTTAATTCGTTTTTTTATATAATATGTATATTGCAAATTCATTTTATTTATAATATATTATAAAAAAAAGAAGTTTTGCTAAGTTAACATGAATAATTATTTAAAAAATTTTACTACTTTTATCGCGCTTAAGTAATATAAGATGAGGAAATAATAAAAAAATGAATGGAAAGAATAAGTTAAAGAGAAAAAAAAGGAAGAAATTAAAATAAAATGTGATTAGAAAATGAATATTTATCCAATTCCCCCCAAAAAAATCAAATATTATTTATTTGATTTGAGTTTTATATATTTATTTGATTTTATCGAAAATGATACCATAATTCAAGGTCATCCAAATAAATGCCAAAAGATGAAGAAAAAAAATCCTACTTGGGCCAAAATTAGGGATTTTGTTATTTTGGCGCGATTTATGTAAAAATTAATTTTATATTTGAAGAAAAAAAATAAATAAGGGGGAAATATTTTTTTATTTTTCGATGTTATTTATAATTCGGACGGAAATCGGTTTAACCGGTTCGAGCTTTCTGGTTTTTGAACGGGTTTATACGAATAGTTGCAGTTTTGTTCGAAAACCGAGAAAGAAAAGGGTAATAAGACGCGCATTTTTGATGACATTAAAAAAAAGGATAAAGAAGCATTAATCCCCCGGGGAAATATTTTATTTTTCGATGTTATTTATATTCGGACGAAAATCGATTTAATTTTACGGATTTAAAACCGGTTCGAACTTTCTGGTTTTTGAACGGGTTTATACGAATAGTTGCAGTTTTGTTCGAAAACCGAGAAAGAAAAGGGTAATAAGACGCGCATTTTTGATGACATTAAAAAAAAGGATAAAGAAGCATTAATCCCCCGGGGAAATATTTTATTTTTCGATGTTATTTATATTCGGACGAAAATCGATTTAATTTTACGGATTTAAAACCGGTTCGAACTTTCCGATTTTGAAAGGGTGGGTGGGTAACGGGTTTCTACGAATGGACAATAATACGCGACATAAAAAAAAGGATTAAGAAGAATTAACCCCCAATAGCCAGTTTTAAAGTTATTTAAAATATTTTTCTTTTTGAAGTAACCAAAGGGTTTAAAAAAAATATTTTTATATTTTCAAAGGGAAATACCCTTTATATGTAATAGATAAAAAAAAAAAAATTTTTGTGTATATATTTTATTAATATTTTTTTTTTGGCATAACTAAAACTTATGTTAAT